AAAGTCACTGGATCAAAAATGAAACCTGTACCCACCAGCCACAGTCTGACAGGTCAGTGGCAGAAAAAAAAAAAATAAATAATCAGTCTGTAGGGGGTTTTAATGATATTTATTAGTTTAAGATACTTGAAGAGTAAAATAGTGCTGTCTGGCTATAACTTTCCAAATAAAAAAGATAGGAATAAAATAAAAAAAAAAGAACAGCTCAGTGTCAATTTTTTTTTTGTTGCTGATTGATGGCACAATCACTACATAAACACCTATGATGTATTACAGGACACGAGTAAGGATTCTTGAGATTCTTACTGTGCCTCTACCCAAAACAAGGGGGAGGAGGGAATTTCACCATAGTCCCAAGCATATCAGACTTAACAAAGACCAGCAGGTTAGAAAAGGCAAATGAACCTCCCTATGGCTGAAATAATAAACTACAATAAAATCCATCTTTAATTTGCCATAAGGAGCAAAATGCCAAGGGTTGGCAATGGCTTGTGCACTCGGTTTGTAGCGCAACAGGGTGTGGCAAAACAACACAGCCTGTGAGCTGAATACACTATGTCACACACAAAAAACCCAACACCAAACAAACCCAAAATGGGTGGAGGGAGGGGTAAATAATAGTTCAAACCTGGCTCATCAGCCTATGCAAAAACCTAGATGAGGAAGCCATACTGTGTTTCCCCCTGGGACCTTCCCACCCTCCCCGAGAGAGGCCAGTCCTGCTCAGACCCAGAGCACTGGTTTGTCACACACCAGCCTCCCCCTTCTTGCACAAAAAGAAGCTTTCCCAGGGCAGGACTCACCAGTCGGTTTGTCAGGCTGGCACAAATGATGCAGAGGATTATAGGAGAAATATTCATGTCGCCTCAAGATACCATGATTTAACCATTCTGAGAGATCTCCTCCCCACTCCCTCCAGTCACATACCCATGCACAAACACAAACACACAACTCCTCCACACACAGAATAATTTCATGGCTCAGCATGAGTCAGCAATGAAGAAACACCCAGGCATCCCGTTGTAGTCACTCACAGAGTACAGGTAATTTTCAGAAGCTCTTAGCACACCCATACAGCTCCACAAAGTAAGTACTCCAGAGAGCCCATATTTCTTCAGACATTTCTACCTTCCTTTCTTTGTCCCATAAATATATATTTTTTTTTGTCCTCAGACATCCTTAGTTTGTGGCTCATGACCATGCTCCCATACCTACTGAAGCTGTTCCTCCCACACTCTGCACTAGCATCTGTCAGCTAAAATGAAGCTACAATAGTATTTGCTCTCCTGAGCATCTTCAGGTCTTACAAATTGGGTTTTCTATTACTTCTGGTTGCTGACGTCAAGTAAATGTTTCAAAATGCATTTGCCATCACTCTAAATAAATACATTCTTAACTTGCTTGTTTTTGGCTATTTCAAGCACAGCACTTCAAATGGACCCAAAGCCAGGCACAAAAGCAAGGACTAACCATAGCCTGTTACCTTGGGCTACCCAGTTGCCTGAGCTATGTTCATCACCCACTCTCCAAATTCATTCCTTAGGTAACCTCGGTAGGATCTTCCCAGGTCCCATCTCCAGCAATCCAATGGCTCTCAAGCCCTTATCCTGGTCCCTGCAGTGTCCATGCTGCAGAAGCCATCTCCTCCATCACCATCACCTTGTGGACTGCACACTCTTGCCCATGTTGGGTGTCTTACAAAAAAAAATTGGCTCTCTAGTTGTTTGGGGGTTTTTAGATACCAGATGCTGGGAGCATCCATTCACCCAGAAGACATCTCCAGCTGCTGACCAGCTGAGGATGACCTCCATGTATGGCCAGTTACTCCAATGTATTCAGTCAAAAAATAAATTATTTTCTATCATAATTTATAAAACCAAGAAATCAATTGCTGTATTCATGCAACCTGATAGCTTACAGACACTTTGAACCTGACAGTGATGCTGAGCACTAGCTAAGGGAAACCTCTATCACCTGACATGAAAAGCAGCAAAATTCTTAAAGGCACAGGGCTGAAAAAGCTGCATCAACTTTTAAGGGTTGTCCTCTCATCAGGTGGCTAATGCCACCACTTTGATGCACAGGCCAATGCTCAAGCAGTGTAATCAGTCAAGGATGGTTTCCTATGAGTGGGGAAGACAGCATTTTCCTAGGGCTGCTCTGCTATGACTGCCCATGTAGGGCCACTGCAGGTTGAAGCAATACTAGTTTGCAAAGTCAACCATAAATTAACATTTTTTTTCCATCTCAAATATGTGTAGATGTTGAAGAGAGTCTCCCTGTTACACCAGGAGGGTCTTGCTCACTTTCTGAAAATGGGGAAGCAACTTCATAACTTTAGGGGCTAAAACCTGTCAGCAGGTTTATTTGAACAAGACAACAAAATCTAGCTGCTCTAAAAACCAACTTGGAGATATGTTCAGCCAGTAGCTCCATCCACCAGCTGCTAATAGTATAGTCATCCCCCTTCACTGGATTAAAAATTTTGGAGAAATCAGAAATCAAACTCACAAAAATGCTGTGATGTGGATTTCCTTATCCCTGTAAAGCTCCTTCTAAAGGCAAGTGGAAAGGAAGAAGTTTTTTAGGCCATTTGAAATTTTGGTTTCTAGTCACCAAGCCCTTCTCTTTCCCCACTTTTCATAGAAAACATCCTAACTCTTTTGTATCTCTACACTCAACCAGCAGAAATCACTCCTACTGACACTGAAGACCTGCAGCTCCTTGGGAGGAAACCAGCTGGGTGGGGAGCTGCCTCTTATTGCCTGGCATTTCTCCAGTTTGGTGCAATTCCCATCCCCATTCTGCCACCATGTCCTGCCCCACTGTTGCTCACCAACATAACCCTGCCAACCCAACAGCTCATTCCTGCAGCCCCCGTGCTGAAATGTGCTCAGGGAGACAACAAATGACAATGGAGGGGCTCCTCTGACGTCTGTGGTGCAGCTGTTACCTTCCTTTTTTTTTTCCCCCTCTATTTTTGGATGTCAAATACAGGAGCAGATGCTCCAGGCTGATGGAGGGAGCTGGCTGGGAGAGTCTTCCTGACTGGAGGGCAGACAAAGAGCAAGGCAGGACAAAGCTGATAACTACAGCCCCTTTCCATTAAGGAGGAGCCTTTAATCCTTTTACTCACCCTCCTGCTACCTATGGCTTTTTCTGTCTACCTCTAAAAGAATTATTTTATTATTTTTTTTAAATAATAATCCATTCATTGTAGACAGTGGCCCTTTGTCAGCCTAAAGCTCACCCAAAACTCTTTCACTGGTGTTTTAAAAGAAAAGGGCAAAGTTACAAGCATCATTAGCACTGTAATTTTGCTCCTTACATCAAAATGAGAAAATAAAAAGGTGAGCATAACATAGAAATGAGTCCAGGAATAAGACAGAACTAAAGGAAGGCTCTTGCTACATCTCCCTTTGGTTTTGCTTTCAACAAAAAAGCACCTCATAAGTTTTAGAGGAGGCTGAAGCATTAAAAAGCAGTTACATTCCTCTTCTTGCACTCCTCAACATTGAAATTAGTATTTTCCTTGGCCTCTTAGTTTTAAACTGAAGGGGGACAGTTTGTATGAGTTCTTATTTGGATCAAATCAGTTCTAGAACAGCAAAGGCTTTTCCATACCCTAAGCTAACACAAGGTCTAGACTAACTCTTGCTGCAGTAATAACAAAGCCAAGGGAAGCCAAAAGTTTCAGTGCAAACCAGATGGGATCAGTGTGAAGCTCCCCACTGCCCACAATACAGTAAGACAGAAACAACCAAGAGATTAGAAAAATATTAGAAATAAGAAAAAAAAACAAAACACAGAATACTGAGCCACAACCATGTCTTCACCAAACCACCTGCAACAAAATACTGCTAGAATTCCTACCTTTGACATCCATATTTTTGCACTGAGTCCATTAGATATCACGGGGTTAGTAGAAAACACTATATAATTTAAAAATAAGAAGGCAAATAATGTATTATATATGTACATGTTTTAATTCATTTTAAAAATGGTCTACATTTAAGGAGAGATTTCAAGAATTTCCTTATATTTTTGTTCTGTTACATTAGATTACACCTGAATAATCTGCATAGTAACCTTAACATTTCTGTTTTCTTTTTGTTTGCTTGTTTCATTGTGAAAATACCAGTTGCAGGCAGCAATGTAACATCTCAACGACAATCACAATACGTGCAGGATGTCCAGCCAGAAGCATTTCTCAGTTGACTTGCAGTAGCATGGCACTTAATAATTTATGTATCAATACTTTTTGAATTCAGATGTGGCTCAAGAAGCAAAAACAAACTTTTCTTGCTCAGCCTCAAGTGTGGGATCACCTCAGCTGGCTGTGATCTGCTGCACTGAAGTTACTCCAGTTTATACCAGCTTGAAGTAATGGCCTTTACATATTTATTTCAAAACACACCTGTACTGCCTTCATGCTTGCCTTAACATGAGTGCAACCCTCAGGAACATGGTCGTAGCCCCTTCATTAGAGGATCTTAATGTGTGCTGGCTCTGTGCCCACAGCCCTGCCCCTGCACAGATGGGAACAGAAAGGGCTGAATGCTGCCCAGAGCAGGGCACTGAGGAGGGAGGAGTCTCTTAGAGAGAGAAAAAAGGGGAAAGAAAAAAAAAAAAAAAAAAAAAAAAAAAAAGGAAAAAAGCTGGGTTTGCCCCCGGTGTTAAACTTTGAAATGTGAAGCATTTCTGTTCCCAAATGATCGGCCCAGCCTCTTAAGAAGGTATTCATACCACCTACTGCCACAGACAGACTCCTAAAATCAGATGCTCTGAGTCTCCTTGCAGAGACAGTCTTTAATATTATAATATTATCTGCACCCACTATATTAAAGCCCATCCTTAATGTGTGCACCCCCAGGACATACCCAGGATTAGGTGTTGTGAATACCCTCTCTCTCCTTCCCCATAATCTTTCCTCACTCTTAAAATAAAAGTGCTTTTGCTTTTTCTACCTGATAAATATGTGGGCTGCTCGATCCTGTCTCCTATCCCATGTGTTTGTACTGAGATCTGTCCCGAGGAATTTGCACTTGGTTGGCTGTCAGCTTGTGGTGGATATGGTAAACGCAGAGGGTTATCACAATAACCAACCCCAAGATCAGGCCCAAAATCAGAGGCAGGGTTTCTTCTAATTGCTCCCTCTGGTCCACTGGGCACTTGTGTTCTGCAGGGAAGGAAAGAAAAGGAAAGAGAGAAATAAATGAGACATTGCAAAGTAGCAAACCACCTTCCCCAGAGTCATCACTCCACACTGGGGGTCCCTGTGCAGCAAAAAACCAGCTACAGCAGCAAGAAGAGACAGGAACCACCACTGGAGTCCCAGAGCAAAAATCACTTGCTTTGGAGGAAAGTGAAGTGTCACAACACAAGGTCTGGAAGGAGAGGTAACATCTATCAAAACAGCTGACATGGGGAAGAAACACTTTAATGCTGATAAACTCCTCTACAGGTCTCTGTTACACCACTACAGCAATAGTCTTGCTGGGAACAGCACAGCAAAAGTACAAGTTTCCTGACTGTGGCTGAAGATCTGGTTTGTTTACTCAGTTATGGAGTCTATAAATACGGTATCATGAGACCTCAACATCACTAAGTCCTTATTCCTGCACCAGACTTACCCTGCTCATTAAAAGGCCTCCCCCCTCTATCTGCAGGCTCACAGCAATCTAACAGGATCAATCCTAGCAATACATCAGCTCCCCATGGGGAGTTTACCTGTACTGACAGAACACAAGTGTGTTTGTGGTCAAACAGCATCCTAGCACCCCACATTTTTGTCAAATATGAGCAGAAGCAACTTGAGCCTTCCCGGTGATTTTCTCTCTGGCCTGCAAGTCCACATCATAGTCTAACAAACTGCTAGAAATTAATAATAATCTCGGCTACAGTGGGAAAACACTTATATTCAGCTTTCAAAGGCACAGCCACCAAGGTTAGGAAACAATTTATGCTGGCAATCCTAGGTCAGATCCCTTACACTTCCAGTCTACTGCAGGCCTGAATGACGGATCACAATGGACTTTTTCCCCCATGGGACTCTTGCTTATCCATGCCGATGGATGGGCAGAGCCAACGCTGCTGAGATGGGGCTGCCAGACCAAAAAGAAGAAAAATGTTAACTCTCCAAAGGAAAAAAAAAAAAAAAAGGATAGGAGAGACAGTGCTCTGTGATGTGATGAAAACAGTAAAACCAGCTATTACTTAAAAAAGCCCCACTGCTGCATGTTAGATGAGCAGATACAAAGGGTCCCACTAATTTTTCCCACCGCTAAAGACCATCCAGACGGGTTCCCCAGGCAGCCGATTGCAAGACTCAGGTCTGTGATAACCAGGAACAGCAAAAGCTCTGCAAATCTAACTGCATTTGGCAAAGAGCAGGAAAAACCCCAAGACCCCCCAGGCCCAGGCAGGAGGTGACAGCAGTGACAGCAGTGCCAGCACCTCCAGGAGCTCCGTGGCCTCCCGGTGTGGAGCCCTCCTCCCCGCACCGGGCTCCCAGTGATGCCATCGGGAAACATTCTGAGCTGTAAATTAGGTAAAACAAAAAAAAAAAATAAATGCAGTCTAACACACACACATACACACAAAAATGTCCTTTCCTGTTCCAGTTGCTCACTGTTTCACCAGAGGAGTGATTAATCACCAGGACTGTGTTCCAGGCGATTCAGCAATTGCTGCAATGCAGGGGTTTGGTTTGTTTGTATTAAGGAGAACGGGAAAAAAATTCTGATTATTATTTAGCTCCCAAAACTGGGTTCCTAGAACTTTATTCAGTTCTTCCTGGTTTAGTATGCTAAGGCCTGACCAGACTTGCCAAGGCAGAGATGGAGCAGCAGGCTGGCATCCCCAGACCTGACTGTGGAGATGATGGGGTGAACGTGGGGGTCTTCAGGCACTAAAGAAGGAAAAGCCAAGAACACCAGTGCTGTGATGCAGAGGACTAACCCAATTCTAACACATCTCCTTGTAATATTCAAATGCCCATATTTGCCAAAGAAAACTGGCTGCAGAGCACAGAATGTGCCAAGAGGACATGGCCAAAGCTCTAGCACCCATGGAAAGCCATGGCTGTATTTTAAGTGTCTGAGTCACAACTCGAAAAGGTGTCAATTCATGAAAACAGCCAAGGAAGATAGGTCTTTATCCTCACACTTTGTAAAGAGGATTAAAAAGGGGAAAAAAAAAAAAAAAGAAAACCCTCCAGCAAAGCTCACAGCCTCCAGCAGCAGATCCACAAACCATGCTGCTCTCCCCTGCCACACTTCCCGGGGCAGAGAGCACTCTGCAGCCTTACAGACAGCCATCTCCTGGCTTACCAACACCTTCTACCCACTAGACACATCCATGTTCTCTTTCTGGAATAGACAGCCAAAGTTTGGGCTCTTTAGAGAGCACAGGGAGAACAGGAATAGGGCTGGGGGTACCCAGCACAGAGGCACGGGAAAGTGCTAAGCACAAACACACTTGCAGCAGAACTAAAGGGGGAGAACTAGGGGATGAACTTTGTATGTGAATATGTTAAAAACATTACTTTACAACAAGTACAAGTATTTGCACATTTATAACAGTGTACTTCAACATTCAAATGGAATTTTCCACCCAAGACCTCAAAGCACTCCATAGGTGTGGAGGTCCACAGCCCCGTGGGGAAGCAGGTAACAAGTACCATTCCTGGTCTGTCAGCCAAAGGAATACAAAAAGGGAGCAAGAGGGGAGAAGGGTTTGCGTCAAGTCCAAGGCAGGCACAAACCGAGACACTCAACCCTATCAAGCACAGGTGAGCTGCTTGATACATGGACACAACAACCGTCACATAGAGAGACCTACTCTGTATTTCAAACAGATGCCTTCTGCAGGACAGCAGCCCTTCCCATCAGATTTTTCCCAGGTATTTTGCTTCAGCACACAGGGATCTCAGTATTTGAACAGGTGGTTGGGTTCTACCCTCAGTCCAGGAAAGGAAAAAGGTCCCTGGCAAGTTTTAGCTATGGGAAAAGTTCAGGTGACAGCGGTAGTTGTTCTGCATCCCGCTCCCCGCGGTGTTATCCCTGTGCCGGAGTGGGACCGAGAGCGGCTTGTGCAGCCCCACAGACCCGGCCCGTCGAACAAAGCCGGTGGGCGGACACAAAGGAGGCATTTCAGCACCTTCCTCATTGTTCCTTTGTGCGGAGCCGCCTCCGGCACCCCGGCTCACGTACCGCCACGGTTTCTATGGTGAGTGCTCCTCCAGTTTCAGCACTAGGCTGTGAAACCACCCGACAGGCCCTTTTTTCTTGTCTCAGCATCCTGCTGCACAAACAAACAGCAGCACGGCAGGAAAACCGGCCCCTGCCCGCAGTCACCACCAAGCCTGAGGAATGCTGCAGGGACTGGTGGAAGGGATGGGCAAACAGCCCGGTTGGGTCCGACGTTATAGGATGGACTTTTTTGAGATGGGTGTTGATAAGTGATCAGGTTAAAACATAACAACGAAAAGACAGACTGGGTGCTTCTTTAAAATGCAGTCCCAGACCTTGCAGAGAGGAGCTACTTGGTGCCAGGGACCCTTCAGAAAATATGGCCCTTGCTTGGGGTGGCTCAAAGGGAGATGACCCCCCCCAGGATCCCAGCCTCTCATTCTTGACCTTTTTATTAGTATTTTCCTTTATTTTGATCATCATTATAATCATTAAAAAGCTGAGAATTTCTGTGGGATTCTCTTGCCAATGTTAATGTTCCCCTCACACCCTCTTGATCTGGCTCTTTTTTAACTGGTCTTTTAAGCTGAAAACTGTACACACATTTTCCCTAGCAAATAATAAATAAGTAAATTAAAATCCCAAGCTCTGAATGGAGAAAAAAAACCAAAAAAGGTAAATACATTTCTGAACGGTTATACATATGTAGGTATTTGTAAGAGTTGAAAGCAGTGTCCTAAAAAAATAATCCAATCATTCCCTACAAGCTTTTTAATCTATTCCAGACAGCACAGTGTCAGGACTAATGACAAAACCTTTCCCCCCATTTCTTTGTGGTAAGAGAGCCCTGACCCTCCTGCATCTCGACAGCTCTTCTGCTCCAGCAGGTCTCCTTCTCCATTCTAAAATATTCTAAAATGTTCTGTAGCTTGTTCATAATTAATAGGAATTTTACCTAATGGGAAATTAATGAACCAAAAAGGAGAGGGCTAATTACTGTAATTTAAGATTGGCAGTGATTCTGGGGCCCCACAAAGGACCATGTTTTGCCATGCGTGTGCTGAGGACACGCCAGTCTGCAGGGCTGGTGGGGACGCGCCGCTGGGAGAAGCGGCAGAGCCTCATGTGAAGCTTAATTGATAAATGAGCTCCCAGGCATTTCCAACCATCCTCTCCAGGTGCTCTTTGCTATTTAACTGCCAGTGGAATTCAACAAAAGGAAGCGTCATTGACTAAGGAGAGCAACAACTGAAAACCGAAAAGCTTGACAAAGAGAGAACCAGTTATTTCCTCAGGAGGAGGAATTCCCCACAGGTGTTTATTGCTAAACCAGCCCAGGTCTCTCTGTGTCCTGGAGAAAAACACACCTGAACTACAATAAAGGAAAACAAAACAAAACCAATTTACCACCTGATAACAAAGAGCTTTTTTTTTAAAAAAAAAAAAATAAAGGCAAGTAGCCCCTTTTAACTGTGAGCTCTCAAACTTGACAAGTTTGATATCACAGAGACAAGGCAGCTAAAACCGAGTCCAGACTTACATATTTTAAATATGCTTTTCTCAGCCTGCAGGGTCTGCCCAGCCAAACCCTGAACGCAGGAAGCCTGGATCCACAGAAGGAGGGAGAGGATGAAGACGTGCCAACAAAAAACAATAGGAAACTATTAAATCCTACCCTTTTCTCCCTGTAACCTATGCAAAATATGGTATTACTTTGACAGAGAAAAAAAAAAAAAGACAAAGTCTACTCCATACTACACTGGCCCTGCCATGAGTAATTTAGTCATGCAGAGCCAGCATACATAATAGCACGTATTTACTACAACTGTTAGAGGAATGTGAGTCACGACCGTAAGTGCTCGGCTCTGTAGTCAGTGCTGGTTTTTTATTGTGCTCTAAAATACTTCCCACATGCAAAATACTAAAGCCCCACGTTTTTAATGCTAGGCTTGAAAATGACACCACCATTTCCCAGGTTGTTCTTGAAAAGGTTCGGCTACTACAGATTTTACTTGTGTCTTGTTAGAATAATGGAGTTAAATCATTTGCCAAGATGGCACTGTAAAAAGGGGGAATGAGCCCTAATTCAGGTGAGCATGTTTACACTCCATCATTCAACCTGATGGAAAAGGCAGGGGGAAACCAAGAAGGAGCACTACAGGGGTCCTCAGGTTAAAAAAAGGCAAAATCTGGAGGAATTCTTCCCCACAGAGTATTGCTGCCGACTTCAGTACAACCCTTTGATATGAACATAGTTAACTCACATTTACTTTTATCTACAATTAACAATAAGGAAACCTGTGAAGAGGAACAGCATCCCGTGTTTGGTGCAAAAGGTGCTTGACTGAAGTCTTTGTTGTGCCTCCTTCACTCTTGCAGTGAACATTCCTCAAATTCAAGCCAGCAAGGTGCATTGCAAGTATTTCCTTCCACCACAGCTGCCAGCTTTCCTCAACGTGCAGTGGCCCTAAAAAGTTCCTGGAGCGCTACCAACGCACCTTCTGTGCTGCGAAGGAGACCCCCAAGCCTCGCTGGGCTTCCCAGGGACCAGGAAATTCTGGAGCTTGCTGGCAACCTAGCTAGGTAAGTCCTTACACAAGCCAATCTACATGCAACAATAGGCCATGTTTTGACCAAACAGCAGCTGGGCTGAATTTGTACAGGCTTTTGGGGGGGGCCATGGAGGCAGGGAACAGGTTGCAGGGACTGCAGGGAGCACTGGCAACCCACCAGAGGGAGCAGGAGAAGGTACTTGGAGAAAGATGTGACCAAAATTCCTTAAGTACACTACACCACCCCCAAAGGCCACGGCAGCATCAGCACCCTAGGGTGCAGGCCGTGCCTTCACCCCACTCCTTACCTTCACTGAAGACAAAATCCGAGGTGATGTCGAAGGGTTGGACATGCACTTCAGACAGCAGGAGCTGCACAGGCTTCTGGTGGTGGTTGGAGGTGAGGGAGATGGTTTGCTGTGCCTGGCACTCGTAGGACTTCCCAGCTGGGGTGACCAGGGCAGAGAGCCCGTGAGAGGTGACCGTGTGCTTCCCAGCTGGCCAAGGGGCAGAGACAGCAAAGGTCAGGTCCTGTCTCTGAAGGACCAATGTGACTTTATTAACAAAGATAATGAGCTGAACCCAAAGGGATGCAGGTGGTGTGCAATGCGGTGGCCACACACTCCACTGCTCTTAAAGCAGCATTTTCTCCTGGGGAGGGGCTGTGCTTTCAACATGATACCCCTACACAGCCAGGGCAGCTTCCACACCAGGGCTGCCTGCCCATGGGAGGGAATGGAAGGTTGCAGCGCATGGTCCTGCTGGCACAAAGGGGAGAGTCGGCTCTGCCACTGCCAGCTGTGCTCATCTCACAGGTCCTTGAAGTCACAGTAACAGCTTCTATTCATGTATCTGCAGGTTGCAGCCTTGGACCATGCTCGTACTCCCTACACTTGGGAAACAGTAATTCCTGCAGCTGCACTTAGGCTCTTAATTCAGGTGGAAAAGAGCAAGGCAATTTGGGGACCTCACTACAAAGCACAACAGGACATGTCACCCTTCCTGAAGATACAACCTGATCGTTTCATCCAAGTATAGATCGTGAGAAAATAGTTTCCCATCACATCACGCCTGTTTTATAAGCCAAGGCCGAATACAGCTCAGCAAGGTGGAATGAGGGCTGCCTTCCACCTCCCACTCTCCTGCAGCCCTTTGTTCCCCTCCAGCAGCACAGAAAGCAAATCAGTGCTTCTCATTTGCAGAGAGTGATGAGGCATGGCCACCACTGTGCTGTGGGGACACAAACAGCAGAAACACCAGTGGAAAAAATAGCTCCATGTCCAGCGCATCTTACGCCATGAACTCTTAACACATCATTCACTGGAGTGGGAAAATCTCACAGGAAAACAATTTGCAAACGACAGTATTTCAGTTTTGAATGCAATACAACTCATTCCTGAGTAGAACCAAAATGAAACCAAAGAGAGAGCCAAAAGAATGGCAACTCGGGAAGCAAAGAGGAGGCTGTTTGGTGCAGAGGCATGTAGGGAGGGGTGTGGATATTGGTGTCCATTATTGTCTTGGGAAACCACCACTTTCCCACCTATTCAACCATCATCAGAACTGGGGAGATAATTAACCTTTAAAAACACCTCCTGCAAGAAAGGAAACGATTTTTTCCAGACGGGTGGACCTGCCCTACTTGCCCACCCCCTTAAGCCCCTGGGTCCCCCCGGGAAAGCTTGGGACAGCACAACAACTGGCTACAGGTTGGGCTCTCCCTCCCATAGCAACTGCGGTGATGAAAAACAAGAAACAAAAATTAAAATAAAGGGGGGGCGGGAAGGGGGGGCTGGGGAGAAATAACACACGGTTTAAAACCGGCATCTGGTCCCGACTTTATTGTGGTTTTTTTTCCCCGTTAAACT